CAAATGCATTTTCTGCATCAATCGATATGATCTTGTGGTTCTTTTCTTTTTTCTTATTGATTGCTTTTCTACTGTTGAACCATCCTTGCATCCCTGATATGAGTCCCACTTGATCATGATGTATTATCTTTTTGATGTACTGCTGGATTCTGTTGGCTAGGATTTTGTTGAGAATTTTTGCATCTATGTTTATGAGGGATATTGATGTATAATTTTCTTTCTTAATGATGTCCTTCGCTGGCTTTGGTATGAGGGTTATGCTTGCTTCATAAACTGTATTAGGAAGTTTTCCGTCCTTCTCTATATTATGGAATAACTTGAGTAGAATTGGTGACAGCTCTTCCCTGAATGCTTGGTAGAACTCACCACTGAAGCCATCTAGGCCTGGACTTCTTTTGGTTGGGAGTTTTCTGATGACCTGATCAATTTCTTCTTTTGTTATGGGTCTGTTCAGGTTTTCTACTTCACTCTGCGTAGATTTAGGTAGGTTGTGTTTTTCTGAAAATGTGTCCATCTCTTCTAAGTTTTCAAATTTGTTGGAGTACAGTTTTTCATAGTATTCTGTTATTATCCTTTTTATTTCGCTTGATTAATTGTGACATAACCCATGTGGTTTCTAATGTGTGTTATTTTTATCTTCTTCCTCTTTTCTTTTGTTAGATTTGCCAGTGGTCTGTCAATTTTGTTAATCCTTTCAAAGAACTATCTTCTTGTCCTGTTGATTCTTTCTATAGTTTTTCTGTTTTCTATCTCATTTATTTCTGCTCTTATCTTTATTATTTCTTTTCTTTTGGTGACTGTAGGTTCCCTCTGTTGATCTGTTTCTAATTGTTATAGATGCTGTGTTAATGTGTTAATTTTGGTTCTTTCATCTTTTTGAATTTGTTCATTTATTGCAATAAATTGTCATCTCAGCACCACTTTTATTGTGTCCCCAGGATTTTGATACTTTGTGTGCTCATTCTCATTTGTTTCTAGGAACTTTGTAAGTTCACGTTTAATTTATTCTACTGCCCAGTCGCTTTTAAGCAGGGTGTTAATCAGTTTCTGTGTATTTGACTTTATTTCTCTGGTCTTCCTACTGTTGATTTCTAAATTGATAGCATTGAGGTCTGATAAGATGTTTTGTGGCATTTTGATATTTGTAAATTCATGAAGATTTGTTTTGTGGCCTAACACATGGTCTATTCTGGAGAATGTTCCATGTGCACTGGAAAAAAATGTGTATTCTGCTTTTGTTTTGTTGAATGCTCTGTACACATCTATGAGTTCCAGTTGGCTGATTGTGTTGCTTACTTCTTCTGTGTCTTTGTCAAGTTTCTTTCTGTTTGTTCTATCCATTTTTGAAAGTGGTGTAATAAAATCACCCATTATTATTGTAGTTTCATCTTTTTCTTTCTTCACATCTATTAGAGTTTGCTTTATGTATTTTGGAGCCCTTTCTTTCATTGTGAGCATAGACATTTATTTATGGTTATGTCATCTTGTTCAGTTGTCCCTTTAATCATGAGATAATGCCCATCTTTATTGATTATGCTGGGTTTTGCCTTAAAGTTTATTTTATCAGAGATTAGTATTGCCACTCCTGTTTGTTTTTTATTGCAATTAGCTTGGTATATTTTTTCCATCCTTTGACTTTTAATCTGTTTTTGTCTCTGTGTGTGAGATGTGTCTCTTACAGACAGCATATTGAAAGATCTTGTTTTCTTACCCATTATGCCACCCTCTGTCTCTTAATTGATGCATTTAATCCATTTACATTTAGTGTAATTAATCAATAGGTATGGATTAATTGCTGCCATTATGTTTTTTTGTGGTGTTGCTGCTTTCTTTGTTCTCTTCCTTTGCTGAGTTCATGATTTTTGTGTTCTTGTGAGGTTCCTCATAATTTTAATGTTTCCATGTTCTTGGATTTTCATTTTCTTGGTATGTTATACAACTTTTGGTATGTTGTGAAGTGTTAATTTTTCTTTGAGGTTACTTTATAGTCCATTAACTTTTCCCTCCATTTTGTTATTGTTGTTAGGTGCCATCAAGTTGGTACCGACTCATAGCAACCTTATGCACAACAGAATGAAACACTGCTCGATCCTGGACCTGTCTTACTATTATTGCCACACTTGAGTCCATCAATGCTGTCATTTGACCAATCCTTATCATTGGAGGGGTCTTCCTCTTTTTCTCTGACTCTACACCTTACCAAACATGATATCCTTCTCCAGTGACTCATCTCTCCTGACAATATGTCCAAAGTATGAGAGACGAAGCTTGGCCATCTTGGCCTCCAAGGAGCACTCTGGCTGCACTTCTTCCCAAACAGATCTATTGGTTCTTCTGGCAGCCCATGGCTCTTTAAATATTCTCCTCCAACACCGTAACTCAAATGCATCAATTCTTCTGTGGTTTTCCTTATTTACTGCCCAGCTTTCACATGCATATGAGGTTATTGAAAATACCATGGCTTGGGTCAGGCACACGTTTAGTCTTCAGCTGACATGTTTGCTCTTCAACATTTAAAAAGGTCTTGTGCAGCAGATTTACCTAATGCAATATGTTGTTTGATTTCTTGCCTGCTGCTTCCATGAGTGTTGATATTTGATCCAAGAAGAATGAAGTCCTTAACAACTTCAATCTTTTCTCCCTTGATAAGAATGTTGTTTATTGGTCCAATGTGAGGATTTTTGTTTTCTCTATATTGAAATGTAATCCATACATAAGGCTTTGCTCTTTAATCTTCATCAGTAAATGTTTTAAGTCCTCTTCACTTTCAGCAAGCAAGGTTGTATCATCTGCATATTGCAGGTAGTTAATGAGTCTTCCTCCAATCCTGATGCCACGTTTTTCTTCATGGAACCCAGCTTATCAGATTATTTGCTCAGCATACAGGTTGAATAAGTATGGTGAAAGAATACAACCCTGTCACACACCTTTCTTAATTTTAAACCATTCAGTGTTCCCATGTTCTGTTCGAACAACTGCCTTTTGGTCCCGTTACAGATTCCTCATGAGCACAATTAAGTGTTCACAATACCCATACTTTGCAATGTTGTCCGTAGCTTGTCATGATCCACACAATCGAAAGCCTTTGCATAGTCAATAAAGCACAGGTACACATCTTTCTGATATTCTCTACTTTCAGCCAAGATCCATCGGACATCAGCAATGATATCCCTCTTTGCACAGCTTCTTCTGAATCCGACTTGAACCTCTTGAAGTTCTCTGCCAATGTATGCTTGCAGCCATTTCTGTATTACCTTTAGTAAAACTGTACTCACATGGCTATCAAAGAGATTGTCCGATGATTTCCACATTCCTTTGGGTTACCTCTCTTTTAAATGGACACAAATATGGATCTCTTCCAATCAGTCGGTCAGATAGTCGTCTTCCAAATTTCTTGGCAGAGATGAGTGAGTACCTCCTGTGCCGCCTCACTTTCTTGAAAGATTTCAATTTTTATTCAATCAGTTCCTGGTGCCTTGTTCTTTGCCAATTCCTTCAGTGCACCTTGGACTTGGGTCAGGAGCCACTTATTCTTGAAACTGACAGTTTTGGTCATTAACATTTTAAAGAGGCCTTATGCAGCAGATCTGCCTAACACAGTACCTTATTTGATTTCTTGACTAATGCTTCCATGAGCATTGATTATGGCTCCAAACAAAATGAAGTCTTTGACAACTTCAGTCTGTTCTCTGTCTATCATGTTGTTATTTGTTGGTCCAGTTGTGAAGATTTTTATTTTCTTTACATTTCGGTGCAATTCATTCTTAAGGCTGTATATAAAAACTATGTTGGACCATGTCTGACTTCTTTTGGTTTCACTAGGGGGAAAGAGAATCAAACTCAAAATGAGTGCAAAGCCAATTCCTATGAAATGGATGTCAGACATACTTGTTTGTCTTATTCTGTCTGACACCAGCCATCAGTCCCATAGCACTCGCTGCTTCACATATGGTGGGTTCGACTGTCAATTGCAATGGCCACACAGAACTTGAGAATAATACTTACGACTATGGGGTTTTTTAGGGATGTGAACAGGATCCAATTCAGTATCAAAAACAACTCAAGATGCAGCAGTTTTCCAATCGAGAGTGCCTCTTCTCTGCCATACTGCAGACACTCTTCATTCTTGTCTTTGGCTTTTCAGCCATGTGGCACCTTGGTCTCTGCCCTGCTCTGGCAAATGTTACAAAACTCTTTTAGCCAGTCTGTGTATGCTTAAAGGGCACATTCTACAAGTCAGTGTCCTTTACATAGACACTCAGCTTTATTCAGTCCACAGGCCTACAGCCTGCAGCTGCTCTGTCTCTCCATGCCCCACCTAGGGATTTCACACTTCACTCTTGCTCTTCCTTCTTGATGGTCCTGCTTTATGGTCAGTTTCTGCTTCTGAGATAGCTCCTTTTAAACCTAGCTGAATGGCCAAACTAATACCCTCCTTAGAGTCTCGTATACCTTGTTTACGTGGTCCCAGTCTGGTGTGGCCTTGTGGGTTAATGCTGGACTGCAAAGTTGGTTTGAACTACAAGGTCAGTGGTTCATGCTTACCAACAGTTCCTCAGAAACCCTATACAGGGTCCCTATGGGTCAGAACTGTCTTGAGAGCACTTAACAACAACCCAATCACTTGGGAATTGAGATGATGTTGGATAGAAAAGCTGTATCAAGTAAATTCAAGGCACCACACTGTAGTCTGTGATCTTCATCAACAAGTATTTCAAGTTCTCTTCACTTAAAGCAAGTAAGGTTGTGTTATCTGTATATCACAGGTTGTTAATGAGTCTTCCTTGAATCCTGATACCACATTCTTCATATAATTTAGCTCCTTGAGTTATTTTCTCAGTGTACAGATTCAATTCATAATGCTGATAAGCTATTTTTTCTTAGTAGTATGTGATTTAAATTTTTATCTATTTGTAATAAATGCAAGCTTATTTACTAGAGTATTTTAAACTAATTGAATGGTTATAGAAATGAAATTACTATTTTTTTTAATCTTCCAGATCACAAAGGAGAACTTCCTCGAGGATGGAACTGGGTTGATGTGGTTAAGGTATATAATATTTATATTCTTGAGTTCAAAAATTTTTTATAATTATTTCAATCAAATAGTGACATTTATATCTTCCTTTTATTTTCCCTCCACAACTTTTGGATTTTACTGGGATGTTTATTTCCTTCTTTACATTTAGCATGTAAGTATTTTTAAATTTTTCTTCACCTTCTTTTCTTCTCTATGCCCTCAATTTTAGATTTTTATTTTAATAATGAAAATAGTGTACAAGTAATACATTATAATAAAATACTTCTGTTTGCATAAATGCATCTTAGGAATAGACTGCTTAAATATAATTAATAATATGGAAAATAAGAAAAATTAGGCTTGGAAAGGAATATTTTGATTTTTTTAAAAGAAATTGTTTTTTTAAAGGCAGTTCTAGATAAATATTTGTACATCATTGCAAGAAAGATATGTTTTTGTTAATTAAAGTTCTTGTATTTCCATTTTGGATTTTTCTACTGTTTTCTCTCAATATTTCCTTGGGTTATTTGTAATTTTAAATGCATGAAACTGATACTTAGTTCAGTGAGTTAATTCTTATAAGACTTCATAAAATAAGTTTTGTATGTCAATTAGTGGTACAAATGCTGTAAGAAGTGATAGTTAAAGATTAAGATTTTGTTGATAATATACAATGGGTAATTTGCAAGCAGATTATTCCTATAGTTTAAGTCAGCTATTTGGGCTGTGGAATGCATTTTCTGTAGAAACTGTTGAAAATAATCTTTGTGCTTCTAGAATCTAGTACTAAAATGTGACCTGGTAGCAGGGAGCCATGAGCTATATTTGGAATGAAAGACAGTATTTCTTCTCCCTTTCCTGAGCAAGAGGCTGACCACTATACCATTTGTTTGTATTAGTGAAGCTTGTTGGCATTTTCTCATTTGCTTAGGCCCCTCTCCACAAATGCTTGATGTGTGCTTCATATTGCCCCAGACGTACCAAGGAGTTCACTAGCTAAGTCTGTTCTCTCAAAATGCTGTAAGAGCTCAAGCTTAGAGTCCACTAAGGAGCTGCTATGAAAAATGAGGGAAGAATTTGGAAATAGATGTTAATGATTAAGCAGCATGGTAAATATAACTAATGTCACTAAATTGCATATGTGAAGAATGTCGAAAAGACAAATGATCTGTTTTATATATATATTTACTACATTTTTTTTTTTTTATAAAGAAATACTGTTCTCAAATGAGCCATTTCCTCACTCAGAATTCCTCTTCTCTCGGTGCAGCAAAGTTCAGCTGAAAGTGAGAAGAGAAATAATCTAATTGATCTAAATGTGACAGTGCACCTTCTTCCATAACTCTAGAAGTTTTCTGTTTATTCTTGTTTTTAAGAGGCTATCTGTTAATAGAGAATTTAAAGCTGTGAAAAAGTAAAATTTAAACACAGTAATCTTGGGAGATAAGAGGAGATATTTTTTAGAAGGCTGTTGATGTGGTCTCATAATCCATTCCCCTAAGCCACTGTTTCAGAAGTATGTAGTATGGACCCCTGGGAGGTCCCAGAGACCCCTTCAGGGGGTTTACAAGATCAAAACTATTTCATTATGTTAAGACCTTACCAAGGTAGGTAGGTGTAGTAGGATCTAAGTGGGGCATTGTTAAATAATGGTTCCAGTTGTTCTCATTTTCTTCTACATATTCTTGTTAGCCATCTGCCATTGTACTAGCGATATTACAGAAGTAGATTTGTGAGAATCCAGCTGTCTTCTGTTGAACAATATAATAAAGAGATTTGTAAAAATATAACACAGTGCCTCTCTTCATGCTTAAGTTTTTGTTTCTATGTTTTAGAACATTTCTCAGTTTTAATTTCACATAAAAATGATGTTAACTCACAGAAACAAAAGTTCTTTGGGGTCTTTAGTTTCTAAGGATATGAGGAGTCTTGAGGCCAAAATAGAAGTCCTGGTAACACAGTAATTAAAGCACTTGGCTGCTAACCAAAAGGTTGGCAGTTCAAACCCACCAGTCACTTCTCAGGAGAAGGATGAAGCAGTCTTCTATTGTAAAGATTTATTGTCTTAGAAACCTTGATGAAAATGGGTTTGGTTTTTTTGGATGGGGCCAAAATGTCTGATGTGGTGCTGTGGGTTAATGCACTGGACTGCAAGTTTGTTTTGAACCGCAAGGCAGTTCAACCTCACCAGCTGCTCCTCGGAAACCCTATACAAGGTCGCTATGAGTCAGAACCAACTCGACGGCACTTAACAGCAAAATGTCTGGGAACTGCTTTTCCTACCTTTAACAGTTTCTGCTTCTCAGAGCTCCCTATTTTCTTTGGAGTTCTTGGGGTGTTTGGGTATAGTGGAGATTTATCTCAGTCTTTATTCTGGTCAGAATTGCCTTACTATTCTTTGGAAGATGTATCTGTTCCCCCCACCCCACCCCCATATATTAACTCCTGCTCTAGATCAGAAAAGTTGTAATTTGAGATCATCAAACTTTCAAAACTATAGTTCAAGAATTTCTTGTCATTCAATATGTAAATGTCAACTTCTATATGTATATTCTTAATCCTGATTTATCTAAGAAAGCTTAAAGGATTGTTTTTTTCTCCCTTATTCTGTTAAGGACATACTTTTAAAGAATCCTGTTTGAAATAGTTGATCCTGAAGCCGAAAAATAGCTACATGTGGTAAAAGTTAGATGGTTGTTAGGTGCCATCGAGTTTATTTTAACTCAGTAACCCATGTAACAGAATCAAACTGCCCCATATGATTTCCTCGGCTATTATCTTTATAATTAGATTGCCAGGTCTTTCTTCTGCAGAGCTACCTGTGGGTTTGAACCATCAGCGTTTGGGTTGACAGCTGAGCACTTAATGCTGCACCACCAAGGCTCCTTGTTAAAAACAATAGAGGGTCTAAGTTACTTGAATATTGCTTCCCTCTTCTATTGACTATAAACATACTATTAAGTAGAAGTGATTAATTCAAATACTAATTAAAGCTTGAAGTTGTTGATTATTTCTTGTGTTTTTGTTTTTTTTTTTTTATAGTTAAGCAAATCTGGTTCTAAAGATGATGAATAACACCTGGAATTTGAGACAAGGGGAGCACATCCTCTACAAAAGTAAACAGGGTTCAAAATCTACCATTACAAGATTTCTGGTATTGAGGTGGTTTTTTATAAAACATAGTTTTTTGTATGTTTCTTACATTTAAAATGTAAGCTAAAACTTCATGAAGAGATGTGGTTATATTAAATAATCTTCACAAACTTGCCTTAATAAAAGGTGAAAATGTTCTGTTTAGTTTACTTTGCAAAGCAAGCCTGTTAAGCTCTGTAAATGGACCAATATGGGGACAAATAAATAATCAGTGTTAGTTTCTATGATCATATTCTAGTGGATATGGTAAAGGAGTGTGAAACCCTTTTCAAACCCTCATCCCAGTAAAGCCAAATACTGAGTGAACTATTATTTGGCAGCATGAACCATATTAATAGAATTCACATCTTAAGTAAAGTCATCTCTTCTTTCTCTTAATTACTGAAGCATAAATGCCACCAAGAAATTTAAATACAAGTATTTGGACTTTATATGTAATATTCTTTGTAATTCCTTTGTATTTCCCAAGGGTGAACTGCTTCCTTTTCAATAAATGAGTATCTGTGTATACTTTTCTCTCAATTTTGGTCAAGGTGTTCAGACATGAGAATTTTGAATGGTATGTGAAACAGGAGAAGATTAAACAAACAACCAAACAAAAATCTGCCAAATACATAAGAAAACATTTTAAATGGAAGTGCTGACTCTTTTGAAATACTTCTCTTTGCTGCATATACCATGATGGAGAAAACATGCCTTATTATTTAAGTTTTTATTGTTGGAAACACTTTTAATAAATTCCTATTTATTTGCTATTGTGTGTTTTTACTTGTTTTATAGTTGAAATCTTCTAGATGGTTTAACATAAAACACATTCAAATTTTGTTTCTTTTTATAGTATGTTTTCAAGTACATGAACGTATTTCTGAATCTGAACATCTTTGTCATAATAGATATTAAGTCTTACAGTTGCTGAATTGTACATGCTTCCTTTTTAAAAATCATTAATTGATTAAACTGTTGGTGTCGTTTTGTCACATTAGGAAATGTATTGATGTTTATGTGCAATTTACAAGGATTCCATATATACCTCCCAACTTTAAAAACACTTAGAATTATTGATGTGGTATCAGGAAGGGTAAAAATGTTAGTTTCTTCGATTATACTTTAGAAATTTTAACCTGACTTTTTAAAGGATAATTAACTTCCAGAGAATATACACTAGCATAGCAGTAATTTTTGAGTTGTATGTGTGATTTTTTTACTAGGTAACATTGGCTTCAGTTAAAACTTTTGAATGATAAAGTAAGTAAAATTACAATGAAGGAGTCTAATTTCATTTGCAAAAGCTGAATCATACGTCGTGTCTTGAATTAATATGATTGTTGTTGTGAAGTGCTGTTGAGTCTCGGTACCAACCCATAGTGACCCTGTATAGGGTTTCCGAGGAACAGCTGGTGAGCTTGAACCACGGACCCTGCAGTTTAAATAGTTTTGCAGTCTGACGCATTAACCCACAGTGCCACACCAGGATTCCTAGGAACATTTATTTCAGGACCACTGGAATATGCCAGCTTTTGTTTTGGAGTTGTGTGTTTGTAGTTTTTTTTGTTGTTGGTGGTGTGGTGGATTTGTTTTCTTGTATATATTTTTTTTCTTTTAAAAGAAATCAAAATTGTTATATCTACTAGTGAAGACTCAAATCTTTCAGATTTCTGGGGGTCATTGGTTACAAAGAATGTTAGTTAAATGCCAATGAACTATTTTTACTCTTTATATGAAGTGTACAGATTTCTGGGGGTGGAGGATGGCAGTGGTGCTTCTTCTTACACTTGAGCATTCTCATCAATATTGCCATCATCTGTTTAACACTCAAAGTCTGTTTTTTCAAAATTGTGTGGAATGAAAAACTTAATAAGCAATAAAGCCAGAGCTGCACACAATGATTTTTCTACATGTTTGATTTCAGATCACTTGAGAAAATCTTTGATTGTATGAATCTGCATAGCTTTACAGTGACAGACATAGAAACTTAAGCTATTAATAAGAAAATACTTCAGATTTTAGGTTAAAAAGAAACCACCATCTTCTGACAAACAGAAACTGACACTAAAATGTATCTATAGATTGTATTGCCATCACATAGATCTAACATTCACCCATATATTCTATTTTTATTTTGACTCTTTAAATTAGATTAGTTTTTTGGTCTAACAGAAAAGCATTTCCAAATTGAAAAAATATGTTTTTATTATAAGCTGACTAGAGGTAAGGTACACACAGAGGCTGTAAAAATTGGTAAAGACCTGGGACCTTGAGGTTAAGGATAGCTTTAGTTTTCACAACTTCATGAAAAACCCAGAAGATCAGAGCCTAAGACTAGCCCAACACAAGTAGTTTTACGCACACAAAAGGCTGAACTGTGTTTCTGGATGGAAGGGTAAAGCATAAACATACATAGACCTTCTGACAGTTTTGTGACTGCAAGTTAACATTTGGGCTTTAATCTAAATTACTCCCCATACAAACCACCAAACCAGTTGGTGTCAAGTCAGTTCGAACATGTGCAAATCCAGTGTGTGTCAGAGTAGAACTGTGGCCCATAGGGTTTTCCCTAGCTGGTTTTTGAGAAGATTACCAGACATTCCAATGTATCTCTGTTGTTGATGTTATTAGGTGCCATCGAGTCAGTTCTGACTCAGCGACCCTATACACAACAGAATGAAACACTGCCCAGTACTACACCAACCTCGTGCCAGTCTGTCTCGTTGAGGGTCTTACTCATTTTATCTTCCACTTTACCAAACATGATACTCTTCTCCAGGGACTGGTCCCTCCTGATAATATATCAAAAGTATGAGTGATGGTGTCTGGTCATCCCGGTTTCCAGGGAGCATTCTAGTTGTACTTCTTCCCACACAGGTTGGTTTCTTATTCAGGCAGTCCATGGTACTTCTAATACTCTCCTCCAACACCA